AATGGTGAGTTGAGATTGTCGAATTTTCGAACCCAATTTCCAATTTTCCAATAAACAATTTCCAGCTCCGCGTTCCGATTGTTGATGTCCGAGTTGTGGGTTGCGAGTCGCACGCCTCGGGACTGCATTCGTCGAAAATGGCGTTTCGACGGTCCAGAGGGATTTGGCGCCGACCTGGCGACTCACTGATTGGTGGGACATGTGTGGCGATGCGTCCTCGCAGTTGCCTGGGTCGGGTCGTTGAGGTCGCTTGCTGTCTGCTTGGCCCGAGGACGGTTTGAAGCGCAGGCCTGTCTCAGGCGGCAGAAGCAGCACGATTGTCGGCCAGCCCGGTCTAGTCCGGTCTCGTCCGGTCTCGTCCGGACAGGCCACTCTGCGCCGGCAGGTGTCTGTCAGCCCCCTTCTCCGTCCGCTCCTAGCCCCAGCCCCAGCCCCAGCTCCGTTGACCCGGTTCTCGTTCGGCTGTCCGGCTCACTTGTGTGTGTATGCTTGCGCCGGAGGGGCTCACGAACGGATCACTTCAACCTTCCCTTCTCCACTCCCCTGGTACAGACCGGCCTAATCGATTTACTGTTGTCTGGTCCCTGTGTCAAACCGATCACAACGTCTTGTTACTTTTTTCTCTTGCTCTCATTTCTCTTTTGCTCTCGTCTGCTCTCTCTTTTCTGTATGTATGTGCTTTTATCTATTTCTGTGTTGTTATGGTGTCTGGATATCATTAGCCGTTACTGTATGTATGTACGTATAGTTATCTCTTTGCCTATCTACCTACGTATTTATCTATTTATCTATATATCTATATATCTATCTATTTGTCCATAAGCCTGTCTGTATGTATGCATGTATGTGTGTATGTATGTATGTATGTGAATCTATATGAATATATGCCTATCTATATATCTATCTATTTGTCAGACTGTCTGTATGCATATCTACCTATCTATCTATCTATCTATCTATCTATCCATCTAGATATCTACCTATCTATCTATTTATTTATTTATCAGCCAGTCGATCTGTCTGCATGACTGGCTTGCGCACTATAGACCCAGGCGACGTCTGACCTTGACCCACTTTCTGGTGGACCTTTCCGTGCAATGGAGATGCAGTTGCCAGGCTGTACTTATTCCGTGCTCTCTTTATCTTTTGCCTTGTCCTCCCAATTCCTTTGCTGTTTATTTAGTCATACAGCTATTCTTTCTCTCTCTCTCACTATCTATCTATCTATCTATCTATCTCTGCGTCTGCCTTTCTTTTTCGCTCTCTTTGCCTTCTTGTTTGTTCTTCAGGTCTATTTGTTAAAATATTGTTAGTTCAGTCAATTCTTGAGACTGATTTGAAGACATGACCACTCGAGCCCATCTCACAGACTTGCTGTTACGTTTCCCTTTTCGCCTCTCTTCGCCATAAGAGGCCGAGCTGGTCGGACGAGGGATCGAGGCAGTGAGAGGGATAGGGCAAGGCTGTGCCAAAAGAAAGTGGGTGAGGGCGAGAGCGATGAGGCGTAATCAATGGTCGTAGAGACATGAGTCAAGTGTGAATCTCATGCCTGCCTTCCCCGAGGTGGTCGGGTCAAAAATGTCTTCTCTCTTTCCGCCGTCTCTGGTTGGCATGGCCTTGTTGTCAGTCGGTACCAACTCGACGGCCGCCGAGTCTGTAAAATCGCGCTTTTCCTTACTTCCTCCGGGCTCTGTCAGCTGACCTTTTTGTGGCGCATTCCTTCATCCTCTGCAACCCGACTCCTCCTTGTCCGACTTGTGGCCAAAATCAGTCTCTCTTCTATTTCTCCCTCTCTTCAGACTTTCCTCGTCCACTCCACTCCACTCTCTCTCTCTTTCTCCGTTCGTCTTCTCGTCTTGCATCACTTTAGGCCGGTGCCATTATTGTCGGTAGTCACGACAATAATGTCACACTGCCAGTCACAGGTTAGCATCACCTGCTTACCGGACGAACTGGGTAAACAAGACCTCTGGTGACCTTAGGCGTGAGACCACTCCGTCTGGATGCCTGTATGCTGGCATACGCACACTAATACGTTTACACAACGCACTTTTGCTCAATTCACTCCGCCCACTGCACTAACTCTGTTGCAGGATCGCACTTGCTCATCACTTTTCACATCTCTCTCTTTTGTCTCAGGCTCTCTAACTTCACTCACTGCCTCTCCATTCATCTGTCTGTCGGTATGCTCGTGTATATGTGTGTTTGTATGTCTGTGTTTTTCGTTCTGTTTCGCTTTCGTACTTCGTCGAGTTAGCGACTAGTTGTCGCAGCCCCTGAGACCATAGACTCGGCCTGCAGAGATTGTTTGGTGAAAGCAAATCTTCTTTCTCTCCTCTCTTCGTCGTGAGCAGAACAACTGCCTCCATTTCCCGGAGTAACAACCGATCAGCGGTGCCTGGTACATTCGGGAAACCCGTCTCTCTCTGATCCTCTCGGCCTCAGTTGTTATGGCATCAGCACATCGATACGCCCATGTCGATCGTTTGCCTCCTGTCCGCCTCTCCACTATCCCGGCCTGGCCATTCGAGCAACCCTTGTCCGTTTGTCTCGACGTGTCCTATCTCTGTCGTATTATGTCGGCCATCTTGTGTGAGTGTGTGTGTCGACCCCACGGCGAGAGGCAGGAGACTGCCTCGAGTCGTCCGGTTGACATGTGAAGGTGGATAGGCCGTGACGACGGCGAATGAACCGCAGCTTCAGTAGGGATATACTACGCCTCGGAGACTGGCTTGGAATTCACGGACCCAAGGAGGACTTCTCAAGTGGAGGCGCGAGGGTGACGGTTTCCCAGGGGCATTTTCCCGC